CCTGTGGGTTCCCCGGCTGGGAACCCCCCCCGGAACGCGCCTGCACCGGAGCTGATCGCCTCCACGAGCCAACTTAATTCGGCTAACTGTGTGATGGAGTACGTTGAACCAATTAGAAGAAAAGAAAAAACATAGGAAAGGAGATCCTCTCTGCTCCCTACTATTCCTCGGCAACACAGCAACGCATGCTTTGGTTCGGGATACAAGATCCAAGTTTTGTGAGCTGGAACTCCTTTTCAGCCTCTTCCCTCGTATCCCCGCTCAGCTTCATCCTGAGGCAGAAATGACAGGTTCACTGCAGGCAGTGCTCCCTCCTGGGTGCTCTGTGTTGGGCCTGAGGTTTGGCCAAAGCTGTTTGAAACAATATGCACAGATCCAAGGGATACGTTAAGTTTGTGCTGAGGATTTAATTTCCTTTTGATGAATTAATAAAACTACTATTTTGATTTTATTTAGGTTAAGTCTCAGCTATCTGGTGAGATTTCAGACTAACACCTTTGACCTCTATGGATCAAAAGTATGTTTTGACACAGACATTTAGGAGACAATTTGAGTTTTCCCTGCCCTTCTGAAAGCCAAAATTACTAAAGAAGGACTGGAGAGTTAAGGTTGTCACCTATCCTGTGTAATAAGAGATTCCCATACTTCATCTCGTGTCCCGTATTGGATTACTCCCAAAAGTCAGTCACATGACTGAAGTTCAGTATCACAGACAGATGCTGTAAACTTCTTGTCTAGCTCCTTATAAACCTGGACTTCTTTCTTGTAATAGTATCAGTTCACTAACATCACTGAATACCAGTGACCTGCAGAGAGCTCCTTTTCTTCACCGGTCCTTAACGATGCTGAATAGTTCACCTTTTGTAAGCATTAGGCATATCTGCATTTTTTTTGTCCCTCCAAATATATGAATACAAATTTTTTTACCACATGATCTGCACAACTACCTTAATTGTTAGCAGTGATACGGTAACAAACTACTTTTGAATGTCTGAAATAAAATTCTTCAACAAATTCAGCAGAGATCTAAAGTACTATTAGAGTCTGCAGAAATTAGTTTTGTCAGAAAATATTAAAATACCACTTAATTTGTCTGTATTTATCAAAGCATTTGTTTGACACATCTCTTTGCAGCATGTGAATGGCTTATATTACGTTTTAAAAAGACAAACACAAGTCGTTCAGCTGCCCAGTAATATAATTATTCATCCAGCACTTTAATAAAGTTATCTTTTTTGATGCCTTGCCATCATCATTGTTATCTTGACTGTTTATCGAATGATAGCTGGTCCATAGGTCAGTTCAGTGTACGAGCAAGGAAGTTACGTGTTTACATATTTGCATAAGCCTGTGCTTTGGAAATAGGCTCCTTCTGTTACCTTACAGCTTGCAAAGTTCTGGTTGCAACATCATTCCTTACCAATGTGGTTTACCTTGAAATGTTGTCCTAATAAACAAGCATCTCCTCTGGTTTGTGTCATAACCAGGAATTCATCGCTGAATCGTTGCACCTACCCCTTCCCATAATCTGCTGCTTTTGCCATGTTGCGCTGGTTTTGGCTGGGGTAGAGTTAATTTTCTTCATAGCAGCTAGTACGGGGCTATGTTTTGGATTTGTGCTGGAAACAGTGTTGATAACACAGGGATGTTCTCATTACTGCTGAGCCCCGCTTACACAGCGTCGCGGCCTTTTCTGCCTCTCACCCCACCCCACCAGCAAGGAGGCTGGGGGTGCACAAGAAGCTGGGAGGGGACACAGCCAGGACAGCTGACCCCAGCTGACCAAAGGGATATTCCATACCATATGATGTCATGCTCAGCATATAAAGCTGGGGGAAGAAGAAGGAAGGAGGGGGACATTTGGAGTGATGGCGTTTGTCTTCCCAAGTAACCGTTAGGCATGATGGAGCCCTGCTTTCCTGGAGATGGCTGAACACCTGCCTGCCCATGGGAAGCAGTGAGTGAATTCCTTGTTTTGCTTTGCTTGCGTGCGCGGCTTTTGCTTTACCTGTTAAACTGTCTTTATCTCAACCCATGAATTTTCTCACTTTTACCCTTCCGATTCTCTCCCCCGTCCCACCGGTGGGGAGTGAGCGAGCGGTTGCGTGGTGCTCAGTTGCCGGCTGGGATTAAACCACAACACATGTAATTACTGATTACGGCATAAGACACTTGGAGTTGCCTTAGCCACCTATCTTGCATTGGTTGGCACCTTGTCTGGAGCCACAGTTCATTGAGGCTTTGAGATCTGCCTTCAGCCTCAGTGGGTGTATTTCAGCTTCACCTTTTGCTGGGATCTAAATAGAATAGGCAACAGTTAAGTGTGCATGGAAGTACGTAACTTCCATACAATTATTATTAGCACTGACAGCATAGAATGCCAGCATATTTCTTGGTGTAAGTTACATCAAATTATGTGAACTACCATTTCATTTCAGCTGAAATGAAGAATGCCCCATGATTCCCCATAAACTGCAATCTGAATTGCGTTTACAACATAGATGTGTGAACCAGAGTGCACTGTGACTTCATTCAAATTCTTTCCTTCTATGACTTACCAATAAACAAGACAAGACCTTTAGTATCACTTATTCAAAATGCAAAGTACAACAAGTAGTGCTCTCTTCATTTGCCTTTTTACATAAACGGTGTGTGGAAGATGTCACGGTGACTGAGACAAGCTGAGAACTTAACAGGAAAAGCACAGTCTTACGGGCCTACGTAGGAACACGGTTTTCTAGTCAATCTTGGAAAAAAAATACTGACGCTACAGGGGTACGGGGCTGCGGTTTTAAAGCTGGATAATGTACGTATGGAAAACTGAGGAACCACAACTGTCGTTTTAAAGATGTGAAACAACGATAACAAGGCGGTTTCACTGTTTTGTAGGGAGACATTTACGATCGGCATCTCCCTTTTTCATTCCCATTCCAGCAAGCGGGCAAGCTGGAGAACGCTAATTTATGGTATAAAGAGAGAAGTGTTTAACTCCGTAACTACAAGAAAGCAGCAGCAGAGGAAGGAAAGAGGGCTTGCTTTCCAAGTCCCTGGCCAGGTGGCTCCTCAAGTCAAGTGCCACCCTCCTGTTTCGGGCAGGTAGGGCGCGGGAGGGAAGGTGGTGCAGCAGCACGGTTTCACGAGGTGGGAGCAGAGGGTGCCGCCCAACAGACGACTTTGGGAAGCCAGCCGG